ACACACACACACACACACACACACACACACACGGCCTTGAATTCAAGCCCCAGAACTGGTACACACACACACACACACACACACACACCACCCTTCCTTGGGTCATTGATTATTCATTTCTTTGTCTCATAGCAGGGAAAATGTATATATCATCCCTCTTTTCAGTGCTAACTTCTCCACTCCAGCAGTACTGAGGATTTGAACTTAGGGCTGTGACGGCACCACACAAAATAATTTTGTTTTTTAGTTTTTCAGACAGGGTCTATGGCAGACCATGATCCTCCACTGGCTGTCTCCTAAGGTATGCTTCACTGGGCCTGGCCCCTACTTGTGTCTTCGATCTTATCTTCCTTTCTTCCCCTCACATTTTCCTTTCTGTCTTGTATTCCCCAGCCTTTCTACGCCAATGCAATGACTAGATACACTGATTATACAATGCACACCTCTTTCCTGTATCACCTCTAAAATCAGGACACGCTTTATAAATGGTAATGTTTTAAAATTAAGTGTGGCAGCATTTTTCTCTCTCTCACTGGTATGTAAGATGTGTTTTACAATCAAGACCTTAAATAGAACATGGTACCGAGCATATGGTACCTGCTAAGACCCAAGGTCCCATTTAAAATAACAGCTATTTTACCTCATGATAATTTCCAACTGACTAGAAAGCTTGTGCCATCACTGGGCCCCTTTCTATGTCTGATTCCTATTCCTAATGCATATCTCTAAGCAGCAGTACTACTCTGTTAACAGATTTTCAAAGGTTTTCAGGTGTTCTGTCTTCTCATGTGCTCCTGTCTTTTTATCTGCTGCTACGTCTACGTATGTATGCTACAGTTTAGGAAAATGGAATAACCTTGTAAACTCTGCAGCTCTGAGCCTTCCTCATGTCTTTCTCTGCTCTCCCTTTCTGCCAATGCAAATCTTGCCTATCTTTTAGGATATAGTGCAAATATTGCTCTGTGTATGTGTGTGCGTGTGCGTGCACATGCGCATGTGTGTGCCAGTATCAGGGTTTGAACTCACTCTCACTTGGCCTTTTCCCTCATGGTTGGTGCTCTACCATTTGAGCTACACCTCCGATCTAGCTTTTGTGCTAGTTAGTTGTAGAGAGACTCTCAGACTTTCTGCACAGGCTGACTTTGAACCAAGATCCTCAGTCTCTTGAGTAGTTAGGACTACAGGTATGAACTACTGGGACTTGGTTCAAATACTATTTTTATTAATTTGTTTTTAATAAAATAACATTGAGGAAATGAACAGTTTAGCTTCACTGCTGAATGTCAGCAAATATTTAAAGAATATCAATTCTTAAGTCATTCTAAAACTCTGAATTCTCTAATTCTTCTAAACTTGTATAAGGCCAGTACTACCCTGATACCAAAGCCAAACAAGGAAACTAAGAAAAAAGAGAGAAAGGAAAAAAAAAGGAAGGAAAAGAGAAAAGAGGAAAGGAAAAAGAAAGAAAATGAGGCTAGCCAGTTAGTCAGTCACTAGCCAATACCCTTAATGATCACAGATATGAATCTCTTCAATAAAATACTAGCATATTGAATCTAATGACAGTCCATTAAAGATTATTCACCATCACCACGAAAGGTTCGTCCTAGGGATACAAGGGTAACTCCATTACACAGTCAATAAACATGACATAACCAATCAACAAAATAAAGGACAAATACTTTATCTCAAAACATGTGTAAAAAGATTTAATAAAATCCTTTTGATAAAAATCTATCAATTTATGATTAAAAAATCTCTGCCTAAACAAGGTATAGGAGGAATATATCCCCAACATCATATAATTGATTTATTTATCTGAATTTAATGTAAAAAAAAAAAAAACAACCCTCAAGTCTTTCTTCTATGTACTCTAGGAAAGAGAATGTGGTAACTGCTCAGGAAAAAGAGAAGTATGGAAGAGTAAAATAATTATGTTTCTATCTAAGTACTCATGAAAGGAGATACTGAGCTTAAGGAATCTGGCTGGGCCCTAACAGTCACTCAAGAGCTGGGGCATGGCTCAAGTAGTGCACTTACCTAACGTGGTGAAGGGCCCTGAGTCCAGTGCCAGCACCATACTAAAAGAAAACACCAGCCACTCAGCAAGCGTTTTTTGATCATCATGAGTAAATAAGTATACATAGTAAGGAATAAATGAAAGAAGGAAACAAGTTGGCTGCTGGTGGCTCATGGCTATAATCCTAGCTACTCCAGAGACTGAGATCTAGGATGGCGTTTTGAAGGCAG